TGTCATTCAAATCAAATTAGTATAATTTAATGCTCATGGGGTCAGCAATAATAACTTCGTAACATTATACATTGAAACCTTGGTCTGCGTGTTTTAAAGGTCATACCATGTTGTCGATAACTATTGCCATTAGAATATTGAATGGATGGGCGCCTGAATTTATTTTCCTCTTGTTGTGGCAAACGATTGTTTGATTTGACAGGTGATTGGTTATCTTTCAAGTTCCTCTCCTCACATCATCAGTGCAGCAGTTTCTGCACTTTCGTTGCTGATATATCACGATGCTGCTTTTTGCCTCTCGGTGCCCAACCTGATACCTGCAGTTCTTGTTTTGCTTCAAAGCAAAGCAAACGAAGTTATAAAAGTGAGTTATCTTATTATTCATATTTTCTTATGCCATTAACCTCCCGTTATTTTAATGTGTGGTGCCAACATTGAGCAGGCAACTCTTGGTTTCATTAAAGTTTTAGCTTCCTCCTTAGTTTGCAATGACTTGAAAAAGCTCTTACCTGAAATTCTCCTAGGATTATTGCCATGGTCATTAGTCTCGAAAAATCATTTTAGATCAAAGGTACGTGCTGTAATCTCTTGTGGTCCTCATTTTTATTCAATTTGCCTGTCTCCCACATGCTCACTATAGGAAATTCCTCGCACATCAGGTCAGTATCATCGTTGAGATCTTGATCAGAAAGTGCAGTTGGGAAGCTGTTGAAAACCAAACGCCAGAAAAGTACAAAAACTTTGTTAAGTTCATTCATGAGGTACTTACTGTCAAGGACTAGCTTTTAAGCTTTTTATATGGCAGATATGGCTTGCCAGGAACATGGAAATGTCATAACCACCTGTTCCTTGTTTTTTAGTCCAATATGCCATCCTGGATCGCCTTTTAAATCTAGTACCTGATGTGTCTAAAATTTATTCTAGGCATTGCTTTTCTTTTGACTTTTTTTGACTACTTGAGAGCACTTCTAGTGCAGCACATAATGATATGTTTGCTCGTGAATTTTATCAGGTATTTTCGCACTGTGTTTCAGTTCTATGCTTAATTATAACATGTATGCCATAATTCAATTAGAGTAATTATTGGTCCTCCGTTATGTTTTACCAAATATGTTTTATAGGAGTTCGGAAAAATGATTTTAAACAATATTTATGAATAGTATTAGTTTTACCTGTTATATTGTGGATATATCCAAAAGTAGCACTACTTTAGAAGATCAGTTTACATCACACGGGTATTATGACAAATTTGAAACTGTTTTCAAAGCACATGCTTAATGAGAATAACTGCAGTGTTTTCGGTTAGGAATGCCATAATCTTACTTCATCTTTGCTTGCGCTACCCTATTTTGTGGTCTATTGTCCAAGCTTTATTCCAAATTCTTAAACACCATGATTTCTTGTAGGATTTACATTTGATGATGTGATGAATGATCTTCATAATTGCAGGGACGAGCCACCCAGAAATTTGACAAAGCGGCTAATACATCTGAATCTGCAGAAAGGTCAGCAGACTCGCTTTCGAAGGGGTTGAAAACCATTCATGCACTGTTTCTTACCTGAAAATATATTTCTTTCAATCCAGTTATCATATTATGACTTGAACTTGCAGAGGGAAGAAAAGGCTACGTGATAATGCACTAAATCCATCCAAGAAACCTTCAATGGATAAATCAAGTAGTTCCCAGATGATGTCAGGGAAGAAAGAGCTGAACGGCTTCTCCAAGGGTAGGAGCTCCAGTAAAATGATGTATAGAACCGGTGTTTCTAATTCACACAGCCGAAATAAGGCTTGGACAAGAAATACAGTTACCAATCATAAGAGGAGATATGCTGAACAGCAAAAAGTCAGTGGAGTTGATACTCTTACAAAAAAGCAGAAGCAAAACATGAATGTTTCAAGAGTTAAGAAGCCGAAGTTAGACAAATTGTCTGTAAATTCGAAATCATTTGCTTCCTCAAGGTTCAATAAGCACAAGAGAAGATCTAGCTAGAGGTAGTTTAATAATCTCTTTTATCGATACAAGGCTGATTCATGTCTTCTGAATTCATTTAGCAGATGGGAAAGGGATCCTTTCCCATGAAAAGAAGCTGATTTAGTCCAGGGAGCGAGCATTTTCTTTCAACATCCAGAAAGAACTGGCAACAGAATGTGAGTTATTTATTTATTTTTCGAGGTCCAAGTATTTATTACATTTTTCTTAAATTAGCCAGTTTCATAAGATTGAAGCTAAGCATTGGATTAGTGTATCAAATTAAAAATAAATAAATAAAAAGCATTTGCAAATTGTTTTGTAATGCTGTTTCAGTTTTTTATAATTTTTACGTTAAATTGTGCCATACTTTGTTAACAACTTAATTTGGGATCAAGGGTTAACAATGAGTCCAGGGATTAATCTGATGGCAAATTGGACCTATCTATAGGTCACCTAAGCCAGTTGAGTTAAACCAGGTTAAGGTTAACCAAGGTTGGGTAAAACTTGGTTCAGCCTAGGTTAGTTTTGAGCCACCTTATTTAGGGCCTAAAAAAATGCTACTTGGAGTCCATCAAATCAAGATTTGGTTCAGGAACAGGTTTATTCAATAGATAGACTAGATCCACTCTTTAGCCTTGAATGGTATAGACTTGATCTCACTATAGGAAATTCCTAGCACATCAGGTCAGTATCATCGTTGAGATCTTGATCAGAAAGTGCAGTTGGGAAGCTGTTGAAAACCAAACGCCAGAAAAGTACAAAAACTTTATTAAGTTCATTCATGAGGTACTTACTGTTAAGGACTAGCTTTTAATCTTTTTACATGGCAGATATGGCTTGCCAGGAACATGGAAATGTCATAACCACCTGTTCCTTGTTTTTTAGTCCAATATGCCATCCTGGATCGCCTTTTAAATCTAGTACCTGATGTGTCTAAAATTTATTCTAGGCATTGCTTTTCTTTTGACTTTTTTTGACTACTTGAGAGCACTTCTAGTGCAGCACATAATGATATGTTTGCTCGTGAATTTTATCAGGTATTTTCGCACTGTGTTTCAGTTCTATGCTTAATTATAACATGTATGCCATAATTCAATTAGAGTAATTATTGGTCCTCCGTTATGTTTTACCAAATATGTTTTATAGGAGTTTGGAAAAATGATTTTAAACAATATTTATGAATAGTATTGGTTTTACCTGTTATATTGTGGATATATCCAAAAGTAGGACTACTTTAGGAGATCAGTTTACATCACACGGGTATTATGACAAATTTGAAACTGTTTTCAAAGCACATGCTTAATGAGAATAACTGCAGTGTTTTCGGTTAGGAATGCCATAATCTTACTTCATCTTTGCTTGCGCTACCCTATTTTGTGGTCTATTGTCCAAGCTTTATTCCAAATTCTTAAACACCATGATTTCTTGTAGGATTTACATTTGATGATGTGATGAATGATCTTCATAATTGCAGGGGCGAGCCACCCAGAAAATTGACAAAGCGGCTAATACATCTGAATCTGCAGAAAGGTCAGCAGGCTTTCGAAGGGGTTGAAAACCATTCATGCATAACTGTTTCTTACCTGAAAGTATATTTCTTTCAATCCAGTTATCATATTATGACTTGAACTTGCAGAGGGAAGAAAAGGCTACGTGATAATGCACTAAATCCATCCAAGAAACCTTCAATGGATAAATCAAGTAGTTCCCAGATGATGTCAGGGAAGAAAGAGCTGAACGGCTTCTCCAAGAGGAGTTCTAGTAAAATGATGTATGGAACCGGTGTTTCTAATTCACACAGCAGAAATAAGGCATGGACAAGAAATACAGTTACCAATCATAAGAGGAGACATGCTGAACAGCAAAAAGTCAGTGGAGTTGATACTCTTACAAAAAAGCAGAAGCAAAACATGAATGTTTCAAGAGTTAAGAAGCCGAAGTTAGACAAATTGTCTGTAAATTCGAAATCATTTGCTTCCTCAAGGTTCAATAAGCACAAGAGAAGATCTAGCTAGAGGTAGTTTAATAATCTCTTTTATCGATACAAGGCTGATTCATGTCTTCTGAATTCATTTAGCAGATGGGAAAGGAATCCTTTCCCATGAAAAGAAGCTGATTTAGTCCAGGGAGCGAGCATTTTCTTTCAACATCCAGAAAGAACTGGCAACAGAATGTGAGTTATTTATTTATTTTTCGAGGTCCAAGTATTTATTACATTATTCTTAAATTAGCCAGTTTCATAAGATTGAAGCTAAGCATTGGATTAGTGTATCAAATTAAAAATAAATAAATAAAAAGCATTTGCAAATTGTTTTGTAATGCTGTTTCAGTTTTTTATAATTTTTACGTTAAATTGTGCCATACTTTGTTAACAACTTAATTTGGGATCAAGGGTTAACAATGAGTCCAGGGATTAATCTGATGGCAAATTGGACCTATCTATAGGTCACCTAAGCCAGTTGAGTTAAACCAGGTTAAGGTTAACCAAGGTTGGGTAAAACTTGGTTCAGCCTAGGTTAGTTTTGAGCCACCTTATTTAGGGCCTAAAAAAATGCTACTTGGAGTCCATCAAATCAAGATTTGGTTCAGGAACAGGTTTATTCAATAGATAGACTAGATCCACTCTTTAGCCTTGAATGGTATAGACTTGATCTGAATGTACTAAATTTGCTTGCTAAACCCTAAACTTCCTCAAAAATCATTAGCTTAGTCACAAGTGAATTATTAAAGAGCCATGGAACATGAACAAAAATAATCATCAAATTATCACATAAGCATGTGAATCAACAAACCAAGCTAGTAATGTTAAAACAATGTAAATCTACACTAAAGAGCAGCAACTCATTATGATTTTGGAAAATTTACAAAATTCTCATGTATCTACACATCTAACGCCTAAAATTTTACATTTACATTTAAAAGGTGTCATAAATCTCTCCAGTAAAAGATGTATTTTCCTTGTAAAAGTAAATAGAAGTGATACTTTTGATGTAATGATAAAGATGCAAGTGCTATGCATATAAAAATGAAAATTTAGGTTCACACACACAATCATGAACATAGGATATGTAATCAAGCTCATAAAGATGAATCAAACATTTTAAAACTATCATGAACGTATGATATGTAATCAAGCTCATAAAGATGAATAAACTAAGCAGAAATCAAGCCTAGTTAATGATAAAAAAATGATGAAATAGTTTTACAAGATTTAAAATATTTTAATTAGATATAAACAAAATCAATGGCATTTGTCAAATCAAGTGAGTGAGAGCAGATGAGATCTAATAATTTTTCTGCGGTTCAACATCATACTAGCTTAGTATTTGGGCTAATCCTTGCCATTAAAACTCCACTAACAACTTGCTAATGCAAGTTAAACTCTCCCTCCAAGGAAAAAATATTACATCCGGATGACCTACATTTGGATTAGGTGCAGATGATTTATTAGATGTGTTATTGGTAGTATTGTGGTGTTATTTTGGTAAAGTAACACCACAATACTACCATTAACATTTAAATACTATCATTCATACATGAACCTACATCAGAACTCTTGATGTAATATTTTATACTCTCCAAGACTACGTGATGTAGCATTCATGCAGTCATGATTAAATGATAAGTCATTATTTTCATAAGAGAAAAATATCCCAAGCTTTAAAACCTAAAAAGCTTCTTCAAATCCTACTAAACTTACTATAACAATGATGATTGAAATGTTATCACCAACTAATTGATACGATATAATCTCTTATAAAATATACAAAATATAAAATTAAAAATATCATACAAACAATTTAGAGATTAATTAGAGGGATGTGGCTCAAGGGTTCCCTAAAGGACCTTTTTGTGCGTGAGGAAATTAATATATATTTATATATATATATATTAAAAAGAAATGGCCGAAGGTTCTTGGACGAGTCACGATCATTCCTAGGTGTGCTAAATATTTGATTATCATACCCTACATACGGGGGAATTAGAACTCATGAACTTACGATCTTCAGAGATGCTGCTCTATCAAGAGGTCATGGTACGCATACATAGACACACACACAAATATGGGGAAAATCATTTGAATTGATATTATATTTAAGCTCTTAAGAATTAAAATTTCATTAATTTTTTTTATATTTAAAGACCAAATTATATCTTCAAATAATATTAATAAAATTATTAAAAAAAATATATACAAATCCTTTAATAGATAGAAATACAATTAATTGTGATTTTATCATTACGAGTAAATTAGAACAGGTTTAGTGCTTTGACATTAGTTTGCTAGTGTAATGCTAGCGTCACTATTTTATGCGCCCAAGTAATAGTGATAATGACACTGTTGAAAATAAATTGTTTGTTTTGGTAAAAAAAAATATAATTAATTTAATAAATTTAGGGAATCAAAACTAAGACCAAATTCAATTACTATAATATAATTATGTAATTGTTTGTAATTAATTATAATTGACATAATTAAGAAAAATCAATGGATTAACTGAAATATAAAGAATTAATTAAATTTACAAAGTAAGAAACACATAATTAACAAATTTTCAATAAATTATTATTATTTTTATTTACATTGAGTAAAAAATTATAGTTATTAATATAAGAAATTAGGACCAATTAAATTTATTATAATAGTAGATGATAAATAAGAGCAAAGTAAACACATGTTCACTCATATTTTTTCATTTATAAAAAATGAGAAAATTAGGATAACTAATTTTTAAAATTATGAAATATTTTTTTTATAATTTATTGTAATAATTAAAATATATTTTAAATAAATATAAAAAAAAGCTAATCAATTTTACTTATGTGTTCATCAACCTTTAGCTTTTGATAATGTATACTCGATCAATTTATATAGAATTTTATCTAAACTCACACACTAGACTTATGGACTAAGAATCTTCGCTTGAGCCTTAACGAATGATACCGTCGATTCCAACTTTAAAATTCCAAAGTCTAAAAAATTTTTATTAGGTCACAAGAGTTTTGAAGAAGATAAATTTGAAGAAAACCAAAGAGCGTGTATAAAATGAAAAAAAAATTATGTTACTGTAGTTTAAAAAAAGAACTAGCCTGCATATCGATTTCCTTTGCTTGGGTTACTGTAGTTTGAGAGTGTGATTACTCTTTTGCTATCTTTAGATAACTCATTATATTGCTTAATATTATTTTTGGTTTTAAACAGTTGAACAAGATAAGTAGAAGTGGAACAAATGTGCATAAAAGATGAGAACAA